TATTTATAACTACCATTTCTCTTAAGAATTTCATCCTCAAAGAGTAAAATATGGGCCTATAAGTAAAACGACGTTTCGGCGCTGCAAAGCATCTAAACTGATTATTAAAAATAATTATCAAATAACTTCTAATATACCTTTATCGGTTTTAACTCAGTTTTATTTAAAACATCGCTCGTCTGGTCTAATTGCTCTCTATCTTTTTTTTTCGATAAAAATTTCTTCCAGCATTTGTTCATGGTTATTTATAAAGAGTTGGCGCAGCTGACAAAGCTTAAATCTTTAATTTTTACTTAATTTTAAATATAACACTTTTGACAGCTTAAAACGTTGACTACGACACAACGTTTCGGATGTTTAGCAGCTGCTGTTGTCACCGAACAAAGATGTCGAGCCTTCCTGATATCAGTAAAACGTACACTACAGACATTCATTAAACTGTGCTTATATTAAAAGTATCTTTGAAGTGACGCGTGCAGTGTCATTAAACAGGCCACTGGAATCCTAAAGTGTTGGAATGTTTTCCTGAAAAGATAAATTCGGATTTGATGACGCTCATATTAAAGTCGTTTCAATGCCAAGAATCTAAGAATGTACTAAATATTGCAATAGACATTACAGTATTACTCACTATTTCCAAAGGCCAAACCTCTCTATCTCAGTTTCCAATGCGGTCTCGAGGGATGTAACTATATTTTGCGCTTGAAACCTTTAATTTTTAATTATACATATATTACTCGCCATATGCCAAAATTACAAACAAGTTTTTTTACGACGGATGGACAGGCAAGCAAGAGTCCCACTCGATGGAAACTCAAATAGCCCATCAATGTGCCTTTGCAAAATAATAGAGTGTTTTCTAGGTTATTTATAACTAAACCATAGCGTAGTTTAAATAAAACACTTTAAACGGTTTAAAACGCGATATATTAGTTAAACTTATTTGGAAGCCGAAGTTAAAAATAATTTCCAAATAAGGTTAACTAATATAACGCGCTTTAAACCGTTAAAGTGTTTTATTTAAATGTGTACTACTCGCGTTAACTATAACCAGCATAGCGTAGTTTGTTTGTTTATGCGGGTAGTTTATAGTTCAGTCTGCTGGAATTTGGCCAAGCCAAGGTCGTGTGTACAAATAGAGCGAACTGTCTTAAATATTAACGTTAATTATAGTTTAGTAACTATATTTTAATAGTTAATTCATATTATGAAAAATTAAAACAAATGTTTTAATTTTTCAGCATTGACTCAAAGGGGAAATTGTCTTTTACATATTATAGTCGAATGTGTTTTTCCTAGCTGGACACAGATAACATCTTACGAAGTATAGTTGTGTTATAAAGAGGAAGAACTAAATTATCCATCCAACACTCCAATTGTAAGACTGTTAGAGGAATTTCGCAAGACCCCTGTCGTCGACCTTCGCCGTCGGAAAAGAAATCGATGTTACGACACGACCTCCGGAACGCATATATTACGAATCTATGCTCCGATAAAGATAACGACGATATCCTGAGATGCAAGGCTGTCCGCCCGTCCTTCTACGTACTCCACCTACGCATCTTACAACGGATGTTGTTGTTATTAAAGGCTGAACAAATTAAAATATTTAAATAAAACAGTTTTAACGGTTTTAAGCGCGAAATATATTAGTTCAGTTATTTTTAATTTAATTACGGGCCGGCGTTTCGCGTTCGCTACGATAACGACGGGACGCGGACGAAGTGTCCTAAAATAACTTGTCTACTCGGACAAAGTCGCTGGCACAGCTAGTGTTAAATGAAATGAAAAAGAAAACCTCTACTTATGCTTTCGATTAACATTGTTAACGTTTTCTAAAATAAAATGAGTTAATTTTTTGTGGTGTGTAGTTATCGAGATTCCGTTTTTTTAATTCTGATCGTTGATTAGTTATTTATTTTATATATTATATTCTTTCTTGTTTTGATCCCGACTTTTGTACATAATACATCTTTTGAACATAATATGCGGTAGGTATAAAAATATTAAAATGTACAGGTTAATATAATAGAATATTACGGAACAACGGTAAGAATACTTCACGAGTCGCGTTTTTTGTGAGAAACGTAATCTCATCTCGTCTATTCAATATTGAATTATTTCGCTCGATCGACAACTCGCCAATCGGCAATCGCGCTTGATTCGATTTGTACAAGTTTGTTTGGGGGGAAAAGTTATATGTAAAAAGTATTTATATAATAAATTGTAAGATAAAAACTTAACAAGAGATGGCCTTAATTAAAAACTAGTAGTACTTATATGTAAATAAAGAGTTCTTAAGTCTTATGTAAAAAAATCAAGACAGTCTGTATTTTTTACGAGTACTGCACAATGAAATAAAACACTTTTTACGGTTTAAAACGAGATATGTAGTCAAACTCATCTTTACAAATATAACAGTTCATGTCGCTTTTTAAAACATTAATTTGTGTTTTATTTATACGTCAATGATGCGCTGTGCACGTGACGGTAGCTGCTCGCTCCTATCATAGAAACGGACATATTTGGAACGTATATACATGTTATCGAAATCTTGAAACGACTATCGCGTCATCGTCACAGTTTATTTTCCGGTTGCACGTCCTCGCGACTAAAGAACCCGACGTGAATGCTTGAGCGGGCCTTTGTGCTTCGCGACGATCTATTCACCGAGTGATGGCGGATTTAACATCTGATGATGAATAGATAATAGACGAATAACAGACTGTCTTGTGTGACAGCCGTTTTCAAATTAAAATAACGGATTAAAATGCTAAATGTATACTGTCTATAGTTTACGCGAGTAGTACACATTTAAATAAAACACTTTAACGCACACTTTAACAGATGGCGCTAGCGTAGCAATTCTTTACTTTGACGTCTGAGACATCCTCCATCTTTAGTCTCCCCGTGACCACGGCTGCTGCAAAGCATCCGAAACGTCGGGCCGAAGTTAAAAATCATTTTCAAATAAGTTTAACTAATATATCCGTTTTAAACCGTTAAAGTGTTTTATAAAATGCTAAATCTAACTAAATAAAGGGATGCGCCGAGTAACGAGTACCGAGTGTTACTTGGTTAATTTTTTTATAACCTACTCCGTTTCGTTTTATGTAATTCCTATTTCGCGCGTAAACAAGTACAAACAGGTTCCTGTAACGTCAGCTCCTCTCACCTTCTCCTAATTTTGTCTCTTTCATTAGCATAGTTTTGATTTTATTCATTGAGATTTCAAGTATTTTTGAATTACTAATAAATACTTTTGGATAACCACTATCTTTGTAATTATATCTAAACTACCCTAAATAGATTGATTTTCTTAAACATAGTATACTCGTTATAAAATAACAAAGTATAACCGAGTTAAATACTGTCTATAGTTTACGCGAGTAGTACACATTTCAATAAAACACTTCAACGGTTTAAAACGCGATATAATTAGTTAAACTTATTTGAAAATGATTTTTAACTTCGGCCGACGTTTCGGATGCTTTGCACCACCCGTATTTTATTTAAATATAATCGAGTTATTCGGCCGAGTACGACAATAAAAAACCCGCCGTAAAAAAAGTACGCAGAGTACCGAGTACTCAACCCATCTCTACTAATTATTTACTATCCAATTTTATAAATTTAATAATATTCATTAAAAAAACCTTACAGGTATCAATAATTGCTGTTCGACATTTTGGATGTTTTGCAGTAGCCATTGTCACGGGGGGGACTGAAGATGCTTCGCGCTATCTCTTTTCGCTGGTATATAAATAATCTGGCTGGGTCAACACAAAACTGGTTCACACTGTCTTCTGTTTTACCAGTTCGCTGTTTTTTTGGGATCTAGTGTTTTTATCCCAAGATCCCAGGTATTGGAAATCTTGAGGTTGTCCTCCATATTGAAATTGTTATGTTTCTTGATTTCAATTGCTACGCGTACCATTCTTAAAGTAAAAATTACAATTACCATTACATATTTTTTATTTAATTATTATACAATCCCATATATATGTTTACCATCTAAGTAAGCAATACACACAATAGTTCTAGCCTCAATAGTAATAATATATCGCGTTTTAATACAGTATGTATTTATATATTTCCAATCTTTAATTATGAACACTCGTATAGATGGTCCCCGTTTCTTCACTCACTCATATTCTCCACAGTGTGATGTTTTATAGCCTTAAGCTTTCCTCGATGCAATATAAAAAGCATTTCAATTCATTCAATTAGACCCAGCAGTTGATGAGAGTAGCGCGTTCAAACAAACGAACTCTTCAGCTTTCTACATTAGTATAGATTATTTTGAACGTTGTCAAACTCCGAAAAGGATCGCTGTCACGGCAATTAAAAGCGACGTCGGATATCGTCTCTTCGACAAGTTCGCGTTATTGATTCTCACGTCGAGAATAACAGGATTCCCTTCGGTGAGCTTTTCTCGTTTCTTGGAAAATCTAACGGCTTTTCCCTTGAGAGATATCGCTGAGAAAATAGACTACTTGAAACTAGTCGTAAGATGAAATTCGTTGGTCGAGTTTGCTTCAGTCTATTTTCCTAATTGAAAATACTGTCTGCAGTTCACGCGAGTAGTAAACATTTAAATAAAACTCTTTAACGGATCAAAACGCGAAACATATTAAGTTAAAATTATTTGAAAATTTTAATTACGGCCCGACGCTTCGGGTGCTTTGTAGCAGCCGTGGCCATGGGGAGACTCATATCTGTATATATCTCGCGTTTTTAACCGTTTAATTTTTTATTTATTTGAAAATAATTTACGAAAAGAGAATAGAAGTAGAATTTGAGTTTTCCGAGACTGTTTTGTGACCGTGATACTGCGGTTGGTCTTGGGTTCGAATAAGTAGTCCGTTTTGGTTTATGCTAGTCGACATTATCACAAAAAACTGACCTGCATCCTTGCTTAATACAATCATTGAAGGGGAAATATATATCGACTCTCAAGCGACCAAAACAAATTTATAATTTTTTTAAATTGTCTACAGGCTTACGAACGGCGGTTCCCAAACTGCCCCCAAATCCCAGTGGTGCTGGAGTGTGTCATTACTGACGACAGCTGGACGGCGGATGACTCCCAGAGGCACACCACGAGGCGATGCCAGTTGAACGTCGAAGCGCCGTATCTCCTGAAAAAGGTAAAGTAAACTATAATGATTATAGAAACAAAAAAAACGAAAGTAAACCAAGTCAGTCATTTTTTTTTCCTCTTGAGACTTGGCACAATAAAAAAAGTAGCTTTTAAGTACTTTCTGTAGTTTACGCGAATCGTTCACATTTAAATAAAACTCTTTAACGGTATACAACGTGATATATATATAACTTAAACCTTTTTGAAAATTATTTAAATTACGGCCCGATGTTTCGTATGCTTTGCATTCGCCGTGTTTTTTTTTAGTTTTGGAGTATTATCTATATTTAAACTATCTATTGTCCCATCAAGTAAAGTTGTCTTATTTCTCTCGCAGATGATCGGCGTGGATTACGTGTACTTCATCCAGAAGAACCACCTGGATCTGAAGAGCCGGGTGCTGGAGATCGAAGCCACAAATGAGACCTTCTCGTCCAGAGTGTCCGTTGTTGAGAAGTGCCGATACTATGTGAGTTTATATTATATTTAATCTAAACACTGTCTGTAGTTAACACTGCAAGGACCCAGCAAGTTTCTCCTAATATCAACAACGTCGAAATAGGTGGCGCTAGCGTTGATTTGACTTTGACATTATGGATATCTTTTGTCCCCCGTGACACGGCTTTTGCAAAACATTTAAAACTAATTAAAAAACTATTTTCACATTTGAAACCATTAAAAATTGTGAATAATTTTAAGAACAAGAATGACAGCAGATATATATGTGTAAGTGATATTAATTTAGGCGTAATACATATTTCTTCCCTGAAAACACTCATTAAATAGCGGATTTTTATAATATATATCAGTTTTATTAGGTTTCGAATACTTTGAAGCAGGGATGCCCACACTTATTAAGACTAGGGGCAACTCGGGCAAATCATGATCTGATGGCGGGCCGCTAGGAGTTTAGGTAATTAAAGACAACTTAGAATTGATAATATTGTATGAAAATTTAAAAAATAGTTTACTAATTTGCGTATTATTATTTTTGCTGCCACCGGTAATCGACCGGAGGCCGTGGTGTATGCATCTCTGCTTTACAGCAAATTTCCTGTGACGGAAATTTCATGAAGGTAGTAGTGTCATGTACACTTATAAACATCGATACATTAAAAAAAGAGTCCAATACTTTTTCTTTGTTTTTAAAAGCACCACGAATAGCTTTTTTAGATATACTTGAAATGTATGTAAGACCTTGACTCGCGAGGCCTCTCTTATCTCGAATGTAATTGCCCAAAGGGCTTCTTGGAGCTCAGACTGATATTAGCTCGGGTGCGATAGGATTCCCGCGAGAGGAATTCGTGATTAATGTTATATTTTGTCATCTATACTAATATTATAAAACTAAAGAGTTTGTTTGTCTCAGGAACTTCTGGTTCAAATTGAAAAATATTTTTTTATGTTATGATAGACAGACCGATTATTGAGGAAAGCGTAGGTGACACCACGCCGTGACCAATAAACGCGAAGAAACAGAGGAATCCTTCCTTCACTCACATTTTTTTTTGGACCGTATTTGCAGCGCACGCAACGGAAACCCTCAAATAATATTCTACTTCTTTTTTACCTTATTTTCTTCTGTTCCCTGATGTTTTATAGCCCAAAACTCTCCTTGATAAATGGCCCAATTGACACAAAACTATTTTTCAAATCGAATCAGTAGTTCCTGAGATAAGCGCGTTCAAACAAAGAAATAAATTCTTCAGCTTTATATATTAGTATAGATATAGATGATAAGTTTTTAGTAAAAAAAAATATTTCTAAGACGTTCTCATACTGTACTAATGTTATAAATTAAAAATTATTTTTTCTCTTTCACGAACTTAAATCAACGAACGGCTTTAATAATATGAATAATCACGTTTTAATGCTTTATCTAGGGTTTACTAAATAAGTTCATATAATAAATTGTTATTAAAAATATAGTTTCCAAATGTCCATGCTGAAGGAACAGTCCTAATAATTTGATTTTGATGCCACCACCAGTGTGACACCTTGATGATATCACCTAGATATTTAAATATGTACGTCTTATTACCAACTTGTTCTGTCTTCTTCTGTTCTGTATTCTACTTGAAGATATTACGCGTTATTACAATTTCAAGTTCACTTGTTAGTGTATAATATAGAAGCGAGTTTTCCTTGTATAAATAAAAGCGTGGACAATCACGGACATAAGTGTAAGCAAATAATTCGCGCTCAGATAAAATAGATATTGTATGGAAAGTCACCGTTGAGATAGCGATAATGATATGTGATCGTTGTATCTGCACGTATGCTCTAAACATTTTTATTTACTACGGAGTAACATCTAAACGCGGTGCGCTGCCGACTTATATTGACTTTAAACATTTAGAAACCCACACAATAAAACAGAAACTGATTTATACTTACTTCATAATATTCCAGCTCTGTAGACGGAGAGTGCCTTGACATACCTCATTAGACCAAGCAAGACCCTCAAAACTTAATCCAAGTTTAGTGACAATACCACTAGTGTTTTTTGAGATTATCATCTCAAAGCGGAGGCTCCCGTAACCTTGTTCATAGCGAAACAGGCGCAAACGTCGTGAAGTAAATGCACGAGCGTGTAAAACACGAGAAAGACAATATTTGTGGAAGGCTGCAGCGGCCTTGACACGAGGAAAACGAGACGAAAGGACGTTTTCGCTTGCTCTTAGACGTACTTTTAATTGCTCAAACAAGTTTCCGTTACGACGGTCGATTCGCCTTGAATGTAGACGATTAAAACGATGCTATAAATCATGTATGCTTATAATTGCTAATCGATTTTTATTCTATATTGTTCATTGTTTTGAAGGTCGGGGAACATGTGTTGGTTCTCGCAATATTATGGGACTCCAATAAAATTGTGCTTCTTTTGCGTTTTGTGTCTGTAAAAAGTATCATATATTGCTTCTTTTATCATTCTAGCGTTCTCAATACTTAATAGTTAAATACACAACACTTAATATTTGAAATTGGACTTGAACCAACATTCATAGCGTTCCGTGCCGTTCCTCTAACCGAACGATTTGTTAGAGCAAGATTCCGTGTTCTTCGCGGTGGATTAAAAAAAATATATAATCGCTTTTTAATGACCAATTAATATTTACAAAAGTAAGAACTACGGATGTTTCCAAATTCTCCTCTCATAAATCTTGGTAAACAGGTCCACCCCGAGAACTCGAACTGGACGTGTTTCGAGCAAAGCGCCCTCCTCGACGTGAAGAACTTCTTCGGTCTGGAGAGCACCGTTGAAAAGATCGCTATGAAACAGTACGCCGCTAATATAGCTAAAGGTAAGGAGGCTTCGAGAAACTGATTACGAACACCTGAAATATGTGCCACAAACAAGGACCACCACAAGACATATTTATCTCAACATTGAGCACCATTTTTTCTTTTCAGCATAATATTTTTTATTTAATAATTTAGGTCTTAATTATAGTCATGCAAATGTTTCAGCTGAAACTTTTAAAGACGAAACTTCTTGTCACTAAATATCTTCAGGTCTAAATGACCTTATAAACTGCAAATCCTTTTAAAAAGTTTTTATTATTTTTACAGGAAAAGAACTCATCGAAGTATTCATGAAGGAGGTCCACGACGACGGAGTTAAGGACTTGAGGCCGTGGCTGGCGTCAGACCCTGGTCACAATAGGGAGCTGCGGCGAGTGGTATCTAGAGGCACTGAGCCCTTATCACCGCGACCAGTGGCTGAAACAAAGAAGCACTCTTTGCCTGGTAAGTCTTTATGGTATAATATTTTGTAGCTCGTGACTTTGTCCGCGTGGAACAAGAATTATGGGCATCATATTTATTTGTCATATTGTGTCTTCGCTCTTATTGGCCGCAACTTGATGATATATAGCGTAAAGCCTACCTCAACAAATTTTCCATCCAACACAAAAATGTTCCATTCGAACTAAATTCCTGAGATTAGCGCGTTTAAACGAATTCTTTACCTTTATAGTTGTAGCCCTTTTTTGACATAAATTTTAACATATTTTTCCTCTGTTCTCATTGAATTTCCACTAGCTCGTACATAAATATTAGGCTTACCGTAAAAACAAACAAAAGCCATGAATTATTTAATATCATTTACCCTCACTTGAAGGCGGATTATAATTTGACCCCGAGTATTTGTGTACATGCATATGTACCTTGTGTAGGCGGTTCACACGAGAGCTGTTGAACCGTGCATCCGTTTTTTCTCGTATTTGTGAACTTAGAAAGAAAAAGTATAAAATAACAATACTTTATTGCAGAAGCAAATTTTACTGATAGAATATGTAACATTAAGAAATATTGTGCACAGGCGGCCTTATGAAGTACAATAAAAAAGTTCAAGCCCGCAATAGATAAAGTAAATTCTATAGTTTAAAAATAATGATATACCACATAAAACAATAAATGTATATTCATTGATTTAGGATGTTATCTTATTTTGATATTAACAGCAAAATCCTCTTGCTACTTTTTCTTTAGGAATCGTTAAAATGCAAAATAGTGAAAATTGGTGTAATTTTATAAGTGTCACTTCGACAAGTCTGTCCTAAAATTATCGATTCGGTAGCTTTGAAAAATCGCGTCGTCTAACAATTTCATGAATAAACAGTCTTTATCTCTCCACAAGACGTGCTGTCGCCGGATTGAACTTTTAAATAATGATAATGATCTTCTACTTTACATAATCTCTTATTTATACAATGCTTTTTTAACTCAAAACTTTTTGTATCGTGTTTACATATTTTTATTTGTGTAAACACTACACATGAAAATACAATAATTTCAGAAACATTCTTCAATACAATGAGCAAGTATTTGTTGTTTTAATTTATTCTACTTCTAAAACAAATAATACGTAAACAATGAACGAAACATTCAAAACACCCGAGGGCCCATGAATTTTAGATTGTAACCGCTGTACTTTTTGTTAACTGGGTACGGACCGATGAAGTTTACATTTTTAAAGGCCTTAAGAGCAAACATTACGTGGTCACAATTGACATTATATAATTTCTGAAGTAAAAAAAAACCTTTTTTTCAAATAAGTTTTTTTATACTTTAACTGTCCACTTACAATATCTCTACTAAATTTAAATTAATAACCTGATATTATAAATACGAGAGTATATACAGTCTGTACATAAGTTAGTCTGTTAGTGTTGTTAGGAGACCCGGCTAACGTTGATTTGGTTGACGTTAACTTAACAAGTAAAAATTATAAACAAAAATTTTGGTTTTGTGTGACACGAGGATCGTCTATATAAATAATGCAAATGCGCGTTTGTGAATAAAAATTACTGAACTTTGTAAAGTTGTTTTATTCACCAGATTCTATCCCACGTCACACGCGAATTTGTAATTCCATTGCGCGATTCGTACTTCTTTTTCTCTTATTCAAGTAGTCTGTCCATTGTTCCCTTGATCTCCGGTTGAATAGTACCACTAGAGCCTGCGGTATCAGCCGCAAATACAAAACAGGCGATAGGACCATGGAAAGAAGCGGGTGTATCAACAGGGACGTCGTATAGGTGTGTATAGCTATATCCGACAGTATGGCGACACCCACCAACGCAACGATCCTATTGCCCCTGGCTCTGCTCAGATTGCTCGTAGATTTAATCACAGACTTCGTAACGCACACGAAAAGAAAGAAATTTGCGCCTAAAATTATGTACACAGTCAACATTCTCGGCAAACCGATCAAGAAGAGACTCTTCAATGGAAAAATGTTCGGGACTATTATATCTGTCACTATTTTGCATACGATAGTTGTACCATATGCGAAGAGAGCCGCTTTCCGCTTCTCGAAGCTGATCTTCATCATGTACACCAATCCCAGTCTCAAATAAGCCAACGTGGACGCGCAAAATGTCCAGGATAGAGTCGTCAAGAAAAGATATCCATTGATATCGATGAACAGCATACTCCGGTCTGCGAAGAATATCGTATTTATCGTCATGGAGTAGAGGTGCAACGTTCCGATGATAATCTGGTGTAAACTGATGAAGTTGTGAAGGGTACGCCATTTTGGGATTAGACACCATGTCACCGACACAGCGATGCAGGCTATGGTGGATAAAATTGCGGCGAACAAACACAAAGTCATGGCGAATGCCTCAACCTCATTATGAGCATTGCACTTCGGGAACAGCGAGCTAATGAGAAAATATTGATTGCGGCCGTTTCCTGTTAGATAATAATCAATTAACGTGCCGTTTTGCTCTATGAACAGTTTCAAC